GCAATTCCTAAATTATTTGAAGCAATTATAACAAATCGGTTGACGCACTCTATCACTTCAAGCATTTCATACAGTCAACATGGATTTTGCAAGGGCAAATCAACTTCTACAAATTTACTTGAATTAACATATCCTATATCTCAAAAGCATTTAGTGAGAGCAAAACTGTTGATGTTATATATACTGATTACAGTAAAGCATTTGACAAAGTGTGCCACTCGTTGCATTTAGGGAGAGCAAAACTGTTGATGTTATATATACTGATTTCAGTAAAGCATTTGACAAAGTGTGCCACTCGTTGCTCATCTATAAAATTGATCTTCTTGGTCTTCCACCTAATTTTCTACGTTGGATCTCTTCATACCTCTATGATAGATCACAAAGGGTATTGTTTAAAAATACTATCTCTGACGTTATTGATGTTACTTCAGGAGTCCCTCAGGGTAGCCACCTAGGCCCGATTCTGTTCTTGCTTTTTATAAACGATATTTCTACAGATATAAAATTCTCCAAAATTTTAATGTATGCAGATGATGTAAAACTTTATAAATCGTACGTTTCAATTAAAGAAAGGTCTTTGCTACAATCAGACTTAAACAGCATGGCTTACTGGTGTAAAGTAAATCTTATGCCTCTAAATCTTAAGAAATGTAAAGTAATGTGCTTCTCGCGAAAAGCTGTTCTGCCAGTTTCTTATATAATAGGTAACCATAACCTGGAACAGGTATACAATTTTGTGGACCTTGGTATCACAATGGATCCTAAGCTTAATTTTAATCTTCACATTAATGTGACAGTCAACAAGGCTAAAGGTGTACTTGCATTTGTGAAACGATGGTCAAAAGAATTAGTGACCCTTATATCACTAAAACCCTGTTTACAACATTAGTTAGGCCGATTCTGGAATACGGCTCGGTGGTTTGGAATCCAAGGTATCAAATTTACTCAGACAAGATAGAATCAATTCAAAAACAATTCCTACTTTTTGCTTTAAGAAATTTCCGATGGGATTCTCAATATAGTCTTCCACCTTATACGAGTCGCTTAAAACTTATTAACCTTCCTACACTTGCCAGTCGCAGGGAAATGCTTGGTATAATTTTTATGGTTAAATTACTGACAGGCTCAATTTCAAGTCCGTCTCTTCTGGCTGATGTAAGCTTCCCTCACGCGTATCAAAACACTTTTGTCCCATATTTCTGATAGCTTGTAAAACCAATTTTGAATTGCACGACCCACTCCGTTGCTTATGCCAGGATTTTAACTCTCATTCCAGCACGTTTGATATATCAGATCCGCTTTTCAGCATTAAGAAAGCGATACGCTCCTCTCTCAATAAGTGAATTATTGACATAAATACATAAGATCAGCTGATGAATTTAGTTCTGTAGCTGAACAGTTTTAGATCTCGACACTTAACAAACTCCTGCCTATCGTGACTCGGCACAAAAATTTATAATATTGGTTCCGTACGTCATGCGGACTGCGCCCCTCGTGCGGATGGGCGGGAATGGAGGGTAAAAACCGTTGGGATATTATTATTATTATTATTATTATTATTATAAATTTTTAATAAATGCGTTTAAACATTTGTGATGGTATTGCCCTTCCTTCAACCGATCGTATTTAATATAAAAGGGAAATGTTTCGAAAAGCCTGATTAGAAATATATATCTAAGGTGACGAATTTATAACAGGTTGGGAACTACATATAAAAAATGGATGCAGATCGAACTAGATATTATCTGTCGAATTAGGAACTGGTTTGGAACTAAACAAAAGGGGATGCAGAACGAACTAGATCTCATCTGTCGAATTTGGAACTGGCTCGGAACTATAGAAAAAGGGATGCAAAACGAACTAGATCTTATCTGTTGAATTTAGAACTGGTTCGGAACTAGAGCCAAAGGGATGCAACGGGGGACAATTGACACTTCCTAGGAAAAGAGAATTAACACCTAGGTCTTCAATAAAGATGTGGGCTTTAATCGTGGTAACACTGTAAATGGTTGCACAACTTTAGTCTACCAACTACGAATAACTAACGAAACTTTCACAGCTATTTACGTACTTTTGACGAATGAAATATCAAATTAAATTACGAAATTTGATGAAATTTTAGCAACCATTCACAACCTTACGACGAATAAAATACCAAAAATACATTATGAAATGACACAAGTTGTCCAAGTTGAAGACAAAAAACATGAAACCACTTAATTAAAAAAATTAAAATCTATGTATGAATATTCCACCGTTCACTCCAATGTGCATGTTTTAAATTGCTTTCAATTTCGTAGAGATCAAACTTAATTATTTCACTTATTGCTAATGTTGGCTAGCTCATCATAAACCAAAGCAATTACTTTTGCTTCTATTCGCCTTACATCGCCCTGCGCAAATCAGCGCCACTTATTTTTTTTGCCAAGCTTTCAAATAATAAAGATGTCGCATCACGCTCTTGGTCACTTGATATTGCAGCAGATGCGAGCTCTTTCACTGTAACCGCACATTCCTGCACCACTTCCGTAAAAACTTGCATGACCTCTGCATCTGCTTGCTTCTTTGATGGTTTCCTCGGTAGCGGCTCTTTTCTTTGGTGTTCTCCTTCATCTATTATTGGTGTTGTTGGTGAGCTTTGATTCTCTGTGAGACTTGTTGATGAGGAGCAATTTAACAAAAAGTCAAGCTCCCTTTCTTCGGGGAGGACACTTCCAACAGTTCTAAACAAGAATGTGTGAACAAGTAAACAAAAAATCAAAACTCAGTCCAAAAAGTGAACACTCACGGCCTCGAATCCTTGTAATTGTCTAAAGAACTCAACGTCTGCAAATATTTCCACTTTTTTGTAGGACTCGGTGCGCCGCTGCCGGAGCTAAGTTGCGAAGTGCGCTTTCGCCTTTTGTAGGTGTCGCGAAGTCCTCTCCACCGCTTTTTACATGATTACAAATATAGCTTCGATAGTATATTGAATGCAAAATGCTTCCTTTAATTTTTACTTACCCGGTAAAGAAACAGATTTGCCGATTTCTTCCCAAATCACTGCCTTTTTAAACACGTTTTTGTATTCATTGCTCGATAAGTCGTACAAACATTCATGTTTCTAACTTCTTCTATTAATATTTCATTAATATCCATTTTGTTTGCAATAATAACAAGAATTTAAGTTCGTTCGCCGCAATGTTTACTTTCTTCCACAAAAACAGTTTGTACACATATCAGCTGATAGGGTGACCAAACGTAAAAAAGAAAACTTTGAGAACACAAAAGGAATATAATAACAAATAAATGGTTCAACAAGAACAGGAAATGTTAGAAAATAGTTTTTACTAAAATAAAATTTTTACGAACAGTAAGATTATTAATTTTTAACAAAAACTAATACATTATTTTTCCTTTTCGATTTAAAAACCTGAGAATATTTAGCATTTGGCCACAATGGATCGTATTTTGCCGTTGCCGCTAGCGACGACGATAGAAATATGTCTATCGTTGCGAACAGTCGTCGGACGAAAGTCGTCGTTCTCATATACGACAGTGTGTTTTAATTTTTACAGCGAACATTCGCAGCGAAAAGTTCGTCGTTCGTCGGCATTGTGTTTCAGCGGTCACTTATATATAGATATGTGCGCCACTTAGCCAGTAGGGTAGATAGGTAAATCGCAAGTTTGACTATGCACTTACATATATATGGGCGAATCTAAAAAAACAGGTAACCTTTGTGTTATTTAACTTTATTTTCACTGTTGTGAACTAAACCCAGCTGGTTGCTTTTGGATATAATTCATTGACCTATACTTGCAGCGTCAAAAAAAATTTGATCAATTTGCTGCATAACTTTTGAATTATAGGTGCTTAAATAAAAAAAAAATAATGAAAACAAGTGAATTTTTTAAGTAATTTTTAAGAGAGGCACAATTAATTATGTCATAACTTTTGAAGCACACCATATTCTGATTTGAAATTAAATGGGCATTTAGCACTTATGTGTACACTTCATATGTAGTAGGTAAGAAAAGTGTACCTTAAAAAACGAAATGGCAAGTAACTCAAAGTCTGTAACTCTACATTTCACAATTTTAAAAATTTTCCGTTTATCGCGTATAGGTTTTGAAGCATTTAATTTTAAGAACTATTTAAGTATGTATTGTATTCTACAAACAATTACGAATAATTTGATACCTTAGCGAGAGGTGTGCTTTTAGAATAAACAAACTTTTAAAGATAAAATATTCTGCGATCTTGAGCGTAATTTTTATTCCAAAAACTCCTTGATTGAAGGCACATTTGGAAAATACGTCGAAACGATCTAAATTATGTGTAAGGAAATGATTAAAGGTAAATTTTACAGACTAAGGTAAGTATTATACGCTAAAGGTAAATACTATATATTGTATTAATCCCATTTGCAATAATTCTCAGTTAAGGTTTCTTTTGTTATTTTTCAGGTCAGTTCGCTGTATTAGATGTTGATTCACCTGCATATAAACAGTTTTTTTTTTTGTAATGCGTTCGAATATATGAATTTTCGTTGTGATGTATACATTAGCTTACTGTAGGAATGGTATATGAAGAATAATAATGTAATTCAATTAGTGATGCTGGAAGTTATCGCCGGTCGCCGATGAGGTCGTAGGTTTTTGGTAGTCGAAACGGGTATTGAAGGCTATGTTATACAGGTGGGTGATACCCACAATGGAGTTATCGTTCTCAGTGTCAATTCCGGAGACAACAATGAAGTATTAAAATTAGGTGGAATCATAGAGTGCAAGTTGATAGAACTTTAGTAGCACTATAATTCCTGTCGCCAAGAATGGATTCTTGAGGATGACCAGTGTTGTCACGAATATCAGTGTGAGCAATAATTTGCATGCACTTGCTTACGGAAATAGTTTAGCCCACCAATGTCCTTAACGCATGCATTGACAAACGAAAGGATGATGTGGATATTGACATCTGTAAATAGGTATCACTATTAGCGCTGGCTAAGTTTGAGAACACACGTGGTAAATTTTTATTATTTCGTCTCTAACTATAAAAATTGCGGTAGGAATCTTACCTCTAGTGTGTAAAAATCCAGGCGTTATTATTTTATATAAAGATGGCACCGGAATTAATAGATATTTATTGATTTTCGCCAACTTTTTGTTAGGTATATATATGTAAGATTTAACTTTCCGTTTACTATAGATATTATTTTCACTTGTTTTTTTTTCACCCGTGTATCCAGCTCGCTGGTTCCCAAAAGAAAGAAAGAAGGGATTTCGGCAGAAGTTGGATGTAAACTGAGGTGGCTATCTAATTTATCGATAACTGATTATATAAAATCAAATGGGTGAAAAGATGGGTTAAGGAAACTTGCAGAGCTATGTTTATTATGCTTTAAGGTATGGAGGGGAATAAAAAAATTATAGAGATGGAACTTGAAGTCTATGAATATGATGCGGAGAATTATATGAAAAGATACTATTACAATCGAGTGATGTGCGCTAGTACAATTGTTCCCTGTTAGAGTGTTGGTGCAGTGTGAATTACCCCTTTGGCTTCCTGAATATCTTTTCTGTGGTATATTCCGCGCTTTCTTGTAATTTCATCCTCCAATTCATACATGCAATTGCCTTTAACCGTAATCACATTGGCCTTAAGGAACTTTGGGTCAAACTTTGCGCAAAATTTTCTGCTAGCGTCACTCAGCACGAAGTTCTGTCGGTAAACGGTATCTCCTGTTTGGAAATTTTTCGCATTGCTTCGCAAATTGTAGCGTTTGGCGGAGTTCTCGAACGCTTTACTAATGTTCTCCAATATTGACTTGCGTATACATTTTAGTCTGTCGGTTCTGTGCAAGCCGGTTTCGTCAAGTGTTTCTAACTTTCGCAGTATCCCATATTCGTCGGAGTGCGAGATCATTTGCTAACCGAATAGAGCAAAGTACGGCGTGCATCCAATGGACTGGTGGTAAGAACTCCTCAGCGCTTCCGCAATGTCTGCTAAGTGTTTGTCCAATTGTGCCTGGTCACTTTTCAAGTATGATCTTATTCCAGCGATAATCGATCTGTTAACTCTCTCGCTCGCATTAGCTTGTGGGCTGTATAAAGCGGCATAAGAATGCTTAATGCCGCGTTCTGCTAAAAGATTATTAAATTGTGTGGATTTGAATTGTTTGCCATTGTCGCGTAAAATAATTTCTGCAGTTACAAAAACACTTAAACCATTTTCTGTAAAAAAGTTGCAATAACCGGGGTGTTAAAGTTTCTAAGAGCTTTTAGTAAGGGAAATTTCGTGAGGTGATCGAGCATGATTAAAATGCCAATATTTCCTTGTCTTGATCTCGGATATGGTCCAAGTAGGTCTATGTACAATTTCTGGAAAGGACGTTGGACAGTATACTGAACGGACATAGGGGGTCGCCAGACCGACTAACGGACGGACTTCTAACTCATTCACTTCATCAAAATTTTGCCGTGACAAGAAATCTGGCACCACATTTAGTGAACCTTTTCGGTGTTCTATTTTAAACCGGTATCCTTGCAGTTTTAACGCCCATCGAGGTAGTCTACTGGACAGGTCTGTCTGGCGCATGAGCCATTGCAAGCTGGCGTGGGTAGTGACGATAGTAAAATCCTGGCCCTCAACATAAGCTCTAAACTATTTTAAACTGAGTACTGCTGCGAGGCAATCGAATTCAGTAACGCTATAGTTACTTTGGGCCTTGTTCAAGTTTACCGAAAAATAGGCAATCGGGGCTTCTATATCATCGTCATTCTTTTGTACTAACACGGCACCAACACTAAGCTTGCTGGCGTCACACTGGATGAAAAAGGGTTTTTCGTAGTTTGGGCTAGACAGAACTGGTGCTGAAGACAGCATTTGGTTCAATTTGTCAAAAGAAGTTTGCGCTTCCTCATTCCAACAAAACGTCTTAAATTTCTTCAGCAAATTAGTTAGGGGCGTAGTGATCGCGGCAAAGTTATCAATAAAACGGCGGTACTATCCCGCCATTCCCAGGAAACGGCGTAGTTGCTTCACATTAGTTGGCACCGGGTAATTAGATACTGCAGAAACTTTGTCCGGGTCGGTCTTAAGTTTTCCCTCACCTACGATATATCCGAGATATTTCACCTCTCTGATAGAAAATTTACTTTTCTCGACATTAATTGTCAACCCCGCTTTTCTTAAGCGATGTGCAACTTCACATAAAACGGACATGTGGGTGTCAAAGTCTTCTGACTCAATAAGAAGGTCGTCTAAGTA